GATAAAAGATGTGGAAATTCCTTTCACCTAAAACAAGAAAAACAAAGAAGGTTAGCCTTTGTCAATGAAGAGATTACTGACAAACTCTTGGAGGAGAGCAAATTACAGCCACTTAACCAGAAACTGGGTCATTTGACAATCAAACTAGTCAAAACACACTAAATTATGGTTCGGCATGAAGGGGTTTAAAAAATCTGCTCCATAATAGCTGACATTGAAGGCACAATCGTGTTCCAGTATCAACAGCCAAATTCTTTTTTTTCAGCTTAAGGCTGGACAGAAAAATGAGTGACAAACCACACCAGAGTTAAAAGGCGTAGCTCTCATTAAATGCTGCAAAATGTGTGATGAAATAGCTGCCATTTGCATGATTGCATCATTTTACTGCAACAACAGTATGGCAGATCTAGAATTTTTCAAAACGAGGTCCACATTTTCCACTTCTTTGCTTTTAATAATATCAGTGCTGTTCATTTGATTGCAGTTTTAAGTCAAATAAAAACAGGTGCACCCGGACCTGTTTTCTACCCCTGGATCACCCACTGAACAAACTGAGAATGCCAGGGACGTAGCTAGTAAGAGGCCAACCGAGGCACTCGCCTCGGTAAAATTTTGCCAATGCTTTTTGTTCTTCATCACTAATATTTTCTTAGCCTCTCAGAGCCGATTTCGCTCGACTGATTTTGTGCAAAAAATATAAAAATAATGTTATTTTTGTWCGTAATTTTGTACGTGTAGCTTCTTTGTTTCATAAATATTGCATGATGAATTCCGGTTAAATCTGTTCAATAAAGAGTTACCAAAAGGCCCACAAAATGCTGCAATTTGCATTTCCGAGAGACTGAATTTCAAATTTTCTAGGGGGAGAATGCCCCCAGACCCCCCCGAGTTTCTCCAGCCATTGGCGGCCGCTTGCCTCGGTTGTCCATTCACCCTGGCTATGGCCCTGAATGCACTCTGTTTTCACTCCTCCCCCCCTGGATCACCCACTGAACAAACTGAGAATGCACCCTGTTTTCACCCCTCCTCCCCTAGATCACAATCAGATAATTACAAAGGCAAAGCATTCTGTTAGATGAAGTAATGTCATCAGCTATTGTTTCTCTATTTCAGTGAATTAGAGTATTTCAAACCTTTGGCTTGATGGACAACTCTGCATTTCTCAAGAAGGTAGTTCAAGATGTGACCTCCAAATGGTGCTCCCTATGATTTAGAAGAAAGATCAATTTTAGATAACATGACATTGCATTTCTTCAGAGATCATGTGAGAGATTATATAATGACTAATTAATAAAATGCCAATACATTTGATGATGATAGTGATGATGCCTAATGATGACAATCATGATATAACAGAACAGTAAATGCATACCTTGAAGTCAAATTGAATATCCATGTACTTGCCAAATCTACTGGAATTATCATTTCTATTGGTCTTTGCATTGCCAAATGCCTGTGTACAA